CACTTCCCCAACACACACTAATATTCTTGCAAGAACAAGCCAAGCTGCACAAAGCTGTCTGCAGCTGACTCTGTCCCAGCCACAGCATCAATGGAATGATTTTGCCCATGCCAAGACAGCTCAGGCCTTTCACTTTGGTATTTCTCCAGCTCCAGAGTGCTGGTTGATGGGACTGGAGACGTGGGGATGGCTTGGGGACCCAGGACATGGAACTGCTGTAGCACAGGCAAGGGAACACTGCAGGAGTGAGGGGCTGGTGATGCAGGGGATTCCCAAATGTGACAGCCCCCCAGCATGCAGGTACCTCAATGTCCTGCCCATGTGCATTAAACAACTATAAGTACTTGCTCTCCACTTATATCTGAGTGCTATACCAACTTCCTCTACTTCCTGCTTTGTGCTGCCTGTGATCAGCTGCCATACTCACACTCTGAGTCAGGAATCGGTTCCTAAACATCAAATCTTTTCATGATGGATTATAAAAGTAAAACAGGCAGTGGGAATAACCCCAGCACCCCACCCTTTCCCACATGAGGAACCTCCTCGGGACCCTGAGAGACTAGACAAAAGAACAGGGCCACAAGCTTTAGGGTGTACCTGAAACACTGGGAGCACAGATGGAGGAGCAAGAGAAAGGACAGCAGCAAGTCTGTGTTGCCTGTGCTTCCCTCCCACCTGGGCCTCTGCAAAATACCCTTGCAGGGCAGATCAGCAATTGTGCAGAGGGGTAACGACCATGATGCTTATTTCGGCAAGTCCCAGGAAGAACCCTTTCCATGAGAGCCCATCAGTGCTGGCCACTCCCACCTGTGTCAGAGTCCTGGTGCTGCCCAGGTGCCAGGGCAGAGCACAGGCACACCCAAGGCAACTGCCCACCATCTCCCCGTGTACCTTGCTTTTTATTCCTGGTCTGCACAAACTCTGAGTGCCGCAGGGCACTGGGAGCCGTCCGTCTGTAGAAGCTGTTCCGCTGCAGCACAGAGCCCACTCTGTTCGTGTCCTCGGCCTCCTGCTCCCAGACCTGGCTCCAGTCCGGCCGGCCCGTGCGTACCCTCGAGCGCTCTGCTCCACTGCTGCTCTTGGCCGGCATCCCAGGCCCTGGGGCTGCTCCTTCCAGCTCCCCACAGCCATCGGAGTCAATGTCCCACATCTTGAACTGTGTGTAGCAGGTACCTGACCCCAGGCTCACACTACTGTCTCCTGAGGACCTGCCTGCCAAAGCAGGAACTTCACAACCTCTGTCCAGACTGCTCTGGTCTATGACACGGCCTTTGGGCTGCCTGTGCCGTTCAATGTCTTCTTGGTCTACCTGGTCCCCGATACCTATACACTGCCTTTCCTGATCTCTATATTCCCCAGAGCCTCCATCCTCTCTATACCACCTTTCCCCTTCCCTATATACTTGATTGCCTCTGTCCTCTCTATACTGCTTTCTTCTCTCCCTATACTCCCCAGAGTCCTTCTCTTGCCTATACCACCTTTCCTTCTTCCTATAATGTCTTTCATCCTCACTATAGTCCTGATACCACCTTCCCCTCTCCCCATGGCCTTCAGGGCCTCTATCACCTCCATACTGCCTTCCCCCCTCCCTGTACTGCCCAGGTACTCTGTCCTCTCTGCTCCGCCCTTCTCTTATCTCAGAACTGCAGTTTCTGTACTGAATGTCCTCCTCGTACGCCCTGTAGTTCCTACCCTCTGTATCCTGGCTTTTGCCTTCCCAAGCACCATCTGCTCTCCTGCAGCCCATGGACTGCACATCTCCCTTCCAAAAACCTCCACAATCTACATTCATGCTCCGTTGGTCCACAGAGAAGCCTTCTCCTCTCCTGTAACTGTCCCAGCCACCGTCTTCTCCCTGGCTGCCTGAGTACTGCCTCCTTGTCGCCCTGGGTCTGTCATTGCAGCCAGCCTCCCTGCGCAGCGCAGCCACCCCAGCTACGTCCTCTCTCCGTACGGCACAACAGTCCTCATATTCCCAGCGGAGGAGTTGCCGTTTCCATCTCGGATCTTCCATGCAGTGTTTCGACCCAGGATAAGAGGACATAGTCCTGCGAGGTATGGAGCAGGGGCTATCTCCCCTCACTGTCTGCTCCCTGAGTCCAAGCCCGGGCTGACGCTGTTTCTCTGCTCTGCTCCAGTGCTCCCGTCCCAAGTGAAATGCAGGTACTGCTTCCTGAAACCAGTCAGCAAGGGTAGGAGGAGGCGCAGGCCCAATCGCTGCCAGCCCTGGTCTCCTCCACCTGCTGCCCAAAGTAATCAGTAACCAGCCCCGAGGAGGGAAGCTGAGGCCGGGCAGGCTCTCGCCGCCCAAACCGGCTCCACGGCTTTGCCAAAGCCTCTCCTCAGGTAGCTCAGAGGCAAGGAAGAGGAGGGCACTGGAGCAGGCAGAGGCCCTGCCCCAGACCAATGTCCTCAGGGAAGGGAAACAGACTGTTCGTGAGACCGCAGGAAGCCACAAACCAGAGATGGGATACCAGGTCTCCTTCCACTGCCTTCACATTCCTAATGGCGTGGAGGCTAAACAACACGGTCTAGAAGAGGCTGGGCTCTGCTCCACACCTCGCAGGGGCAAACTGGGGCCTTCAGGCTGCCCCTGGCTCAAACCTGATGCTGAACCTTTCCTTTTCCCAGTCCTCACCCACAGTCACTGGAAGATCAGGAGAGGAGCTGCTCCCTGCAAGACAGAGCACCCCAGTAGTGCCTACACAGTGCCGTGCAGCCACAGCTGCCTGGTTCCCTGCTCCAGGGTGAACAGCTGGTCTACCCGCTGACAGGAGCAGCCTTGAAGGGATTACCTGGCTTATGGAGTCCAGTGCCAACACAAAATATAAATTTTCAGGAGGCTACAGAAACATGCAATCTAGTAACACCTCTCACTGCAGGGCACAGCATATTCCCAGTTTTCCATGCCAAATGCAGAGCTCCTATAAGAAACCAACAATGCCCTACATGCCCTAGACAGAAAGCGTGGGAGTCCATGGATGTCATCCCTGTCTCAGGTTTTTTCAACACTTGTTAGGAATGCACAGCCCATGCTCTGTGCTGGTAGAAGACAACAATAAAACCTATGGACTCTCCTACTCCAACTGCAGGAGGGCGAGCGCTAATCCTGCCCAAGCCAGGTGAACCCCAGTGTGCACAAAGACACACCAAAGAAGCAACCTGACAATTTTAAACGTGTGTTTTAGAAAACCACATACTTTCTATACTTCCTTTGGCTCCCCAAAGGATACACCAGCGGGTTAGATTCCCCCGAGACTACACCAGCCCTGCTTTGGTTGCTGGTCAAAGCTTAGTGAAAGCTTTTCTGCCACCAGTGTGCCTCCATGTTCCCCTAACAACGGCAAGGCAGAGGTCACGCCTCAGGCATGGCACAAACACATTTTGCTGCACTGATGCAACACCCTGTTACTGATCTGGCCTGCTGCACTAAAGCTGGGCTAGGAAGCCTGAGACATGCTCTCTGGCTACACTCAGATGCGGCAGAAAACATCTTTATCACAGGACCAGAGAGGTTACTTACAAATCCTCAGGTCTCTTTGAACTGGTGAAAAATCCTCTAGGATTACTGAGGATTTGAGGATGAGACTTGAGGATGTCTCAGGTGCATTAGTTCTTGCTTAAAACTTCCAGTTTCAGGAACCAAAAGGGCACAGGTTTTACAGGATCTGTCCTCTGCCAGGAAGCACTAGGACGGTAAGAGAAGTTTCCCAGGAAGATCCATCCCATTAGAAAAATTCCCTTGAGATTCAGCCTAGAGTTTTCTCTTCCTACCTTCAAGTTATTTCAGCTTGTCTCATATCCTCTAAGCCTCCTTCCAAGCGTCCCTCTTGCACACCACTGATGTGGAGGCTGTTTGTCACCCTATTTTCCTGGTGCACCTGAATTTGCCTTCATTCCCATGTGCTCTGCATCAGACACGATCGTGCAACAAAGTGCCTGGGCTTCCCAGCACTGATAAAGCAGTGGGTGGATGGAGGCAATGAAGTCAGAGTGAGTAATCCCCAGGCGGGAGCTGGCATTTCACTCCACCTCCTGAATGCAGTGCCCACATTTCCTGCACATCGTGGGTTTCAGTAACAGAACTGTGGTGTCAGAGCTCCTGGGAGAAGCTGGGGAAGGGACTGTGGGATAAAACGTATGTGGTCCCATCTTTATACTTTGTCTACTGTAATACCAAGTGTAACAATTAACAGCACTGATCTTTACATGGCATCTTTGGGTTTCAGAAGCCAAACATGCTGATATAATCATCGCAAATTTCTCTTCCCTGACTAATTTTTTGGGGCTTCATGGACAAAAGTTACCTTTCCAGCTAAAGATTTGCCACAATTTAAAGCTCTTTGTTGCTGTTACCAACAGCACAGTGTCATTTTCCTATCTAGGACTCCATGGATGGCAGAAGCACAGGGTCAGGCTTTACTTTTTGCCCACTAATCCATCACACTCCCAGGCCAGGTTCAGTCTCCTTCTGTGCATCCACTCTGATCTGAGTGACAAGGCCCCACAGGTCTGTATCACCACCAGAGCAGAAACCACAGGAAACTCAGTGCTGACAGGCTGATGGCAGTCACACCACAGACATCAACTCAAATAACTGCAGGACCACTAGCAAAGCCACTCTGAAGCTGCTGCTCATTCCCCTACAGCTAAGAGGGGATGAGGCAGGGAGGTTGAAACTGCAGCAGCTGTGCTTTTGCTTAATAGCAAGGATATACTGGGAACGGATCAGATGAAGGCTCTGGATGTATGGTGGGGCCAAAAGAGGAGACAGGAGAGTTGAAAGGAAAAGTGGGTGGGGAAGACTGGGGCAAAGGGATATTCAGAGAAAGACACTCTCATTCTCCAAAGCAAAATCATGATGATTTGTACCGCAAGACTGCTTACAAAATTACCAGGAATTAAAGAAGGGTATAAAAGACTGGTTTCAACAGTGTCTCTAAACAGCAGGGGCAGCTGTCCCCCTGAAGAACCCCCATCCCATGCTGCTGTAGACTCACCTCTCAGCTCCTGCAGCTCCATGCTGAGGCTCTCAATGTTGGAATCACAGAATTCAAGGTTTTCCATGGTCTCTGCTCTCACCAGCTCATCCTGCTGCTCCTCCAGCATCAGGCTTAGCTCAGCACGGGTCTTGCCATAAGCTTCCAAGTCTCGCTCTACCTCTCCAATCCTAGTCAGCAGAATGGAGCAGGGGGAAGCTGATCCTGCCTGTGTCAAGTCCTCACGTCCCTCCTCCACCCGCTGCTCTGGGGTGCTGGGCTGAAGCTGTGCAGGGGCCACATTTTTCCGCTGGTTGCCTGATGGAGGCCGGGGTGCAGGCCGGGAGGGCTTGACCGAGAAGGACAGAGACCTGCCTTTGGACGTTTGGCCACCCAGCATGTGCACAGGGGTTGTCGCAAGGCTGCTGGGCCGAGGAGGGGGTGGCCTCAGGGCCCTCCTCCTCTCTGTCTGCCTGGAGTGGGGGACGGACACAGGAGACCCACGGACAATGTCCTTCTCAGAGCTGTAGTCCAAGATAGAGAAATGACGGGAGACCTTGTTCTGCTCAGCACTGGTACTTGACAGACTCTTCTCAAACTGTGCCAGCTGCTCCGTCAGTTTGGAGTCAAGGTCTGTGCAGCTGTCCCCCTGCACTGCAAGTGGGCAGCACTCCCCCCAGCTCCCAGCCCATGTGTCCAGGCCCACCTGGGCAGCTCCTGAGCTGGAGGAACAGGGCTTGGACTTCTCCTGTTGACTGTCCATCCAATTGTCTAGATCCTGGGTGCTGCTCTGGATCTCCTGGGGCTGGGATGCTGCCCAGCTGTTAGAAGATGAAATTGCCTGGCTCCTGTAAGGATCTTGGGGGACGTGGGAAGTCTGCAAGGGCACAGCGGGATTGTCTCCATCGTGCTCGAGCAGAGTGTGACATTCTGATTTTCCTGGGGATGCTGAAATGGTCCCCCCAGGCTCCAACTCACCTGCTTGGCCAGGCCTGTTGCCCTGTGGAGGAGGCAGCTGAGCAGAAAGGAGAAGGCCATTGACGGTCTTCATGGAGGCAGAGGGGAGAGAGTCCACGGGGCCTTTGGGATGTAGCCCTTGGTGTCCTGTGCTGGGAAAGGCCTGATGCTCTCTCAAGTCAGTTGCAAGAGGACCCTCTGACCTCCCCACCTTGTGAGACAAAATGGTGGTAGGCTCAGGGTGTGCAGCCAAGCCCTCTTCCTTTTCCCTGCCATCTTTCCCTACCAAAGGAAGAGCTTCAAAGCAGGTGTTTTCTGGGTCTTGATGGATGGACAATCCACAGCTCTCTCCACCTTGCAGATCCCCAGCACACACTTTTACCCTGCAAGCCTCAGAGGCTTCCAGCCTCACGAATCTGTGTGGAAAGATGCCACGTTTTCCTCTCAGTTCCCCCTCCAGCCAGCCATCCTCCAGAACGCCAACAATCCGAATCCTGTCACCCACATCAAAATCCAGTTCTTTGGACTCCAGGGCTTGGAACTGATAGAGGGCAACACCGTAAGTGTTCCCTGGCTCCTCGTCCTCCTTGGGGGCCATCTCCACTGTCCCATTGGTGTCACAAGTCCCAGTGGGCTCTGGATCCACTGAGGTTCCTGGTGCTCGCAGAGGAGTAAGCAGTTCCACAAAACCCTCTGGAAAAATGCCCCTGCAGCCTCTGAGCTCACCTTCAAACCAGCCAGGCTCTGGGACACCAACAATATTGATTACATCCCCTTCCCTGAAGTCCAGTTCCTCTTCTAGCTGAGCAGACAGGTCCATCAGGGCCTGAGCTTGGCCCAGTGAGTAGGCAGGCACCTCCAGGAGAGTGCTCTGGGACAGCTGACGTCTCCGAACTGAAAGGCACAGCTCCCGCACACATGATGAGGGGAAAAAGCCCTTGGAACCCCAGCTGCTCCGGCCCTGGAGCCAGCTGGAGGCCAGGGACCCCCCCAGGATCACCAGGTCTCCTGCAGAGAATGATAAACACCAGTTCAAAACTGCTCTCATAATTGCTTCCCACCTCTTATTCTTGCCTTCCTGTGACCCTCCTGGCTGTGGGTGAGGTCTGGTACTCTGTGAGAGCATAGGGCATGCTGGGGATGCACATGAGAACAGGATGGGGTAAGCCATGAAGTATCAGCAGCCTCTTGCACACACATGTAAGATACACAGTTTTGGCTGCAAACACACGAAGGTGCATTAAAGCTTTGATTTCTCCCCCAAATGCAAGTCTAAGATTTGGGTACTGGAGGTCAGTTAAAAGGCAGCTGTAAATTTACTATGATAGGCAACTCCAACTTCTGGAGTTTCATGAGTAATGATACATCATGAGAAACTGGTATCAGAGTGGCAGAGGCCCAGAGGTTCGTGGTGGATTTGACAAGACCCATGTCATGAGGTACTAGGAAGTTCACCTCTCTCTTCTGTCACTCTAGGCAGGATGCTGTGACTAGGCTTGAGCTGCAAAGCAAAGGAAGGGAATGGAGATTACCTCTCTGCAAGGATAAGCTCCCTGGCTCTTGAGATGTGAAGTCATTGGTACAAACAAGCAGTTTTTCTCCCTGCTTCAAAGGAGGAATATCCACAGGTTCAATAAAGCTGCTAGGAAACTGCCCTAAAAGGAGAAGCAGTTGTCAGCAGAGTCTTTCCTGTAGCCCACCACTACGTCCACCCTCCTTCCAGATTTTCAGATCTATTTATCTCCTGCTAAAGGAAAATACCCATTTATACTGGGTGCCTCAATAGCATGGTGGAAGAGGAATGAGTTTGGGAGTCAGGAATTCCTGAGGTTTTAAATGCTTATGAACTGACAGAGAACAAAAAGTTTTCTGCCCTCAGATCACTCCAGGCAACCAACACACTGTGTTCATCACTGGGACTGTGCCATCAGCATGGAGCTTCTGGGAACAGACATACTAGGTTTTCTGTGCTTTTACTGCTTCCTTCCCAACTCAGATCCAGATGAAGAGATCCATACTGCTGGATGCTGTTTTCTGACTGGGCATATCCACCTGGTGCTCCTGCCTCTATAAGGCTTGGCCCCTGTGCAGCCTCGGCACAGAAGTCAAGCCACCACACTGAGGATGGCCAAATCGGTGAGTCACAGGCTCTGTCACAGCTTCAGCACTGCTGAGACTCCAGGGGCCTTCCCCACATTGTCACTCTGTGCACCTGTTTCACTGTGGCTCCCATTGCTGGATGCCCAGCTATTCTGAACAGGCCCCAGCCAGGCAGGGCAGAGCACACTTGTTGGCCATCACGGGATACCACTCAGCTACTAATTTCAGTCCTGGAGAACAGGACATGGCAGAGCCCACTGCAAAGGCCACTAAATTCACTCATTCCTATATAATGTGATGGAGTATGGGCTAGTAGCACTTCCAGCATTCCCTCTTACTGATCCAGTATTTTCTAATAAAACCTGGAAACACCATATCTTAGACATCCAGAGCTTAGCTCTGGATTTAGGCAGTTTGACGTCCGCCAGCCTCAGCTGCTTCCTTCACAATTTTAACCAGTTCTACCTCTTTTTCCATGTCTTAGTTTCCTGCTCTGTGGAAACAACATAATGCTGTTAGAAAGGAAGTCATGGAGTTACAGTAATTATTCCACACTAATTATTCCAGAGTAATGAATATTAAGCACCTTCACAGCTTCTATTCAAAAGTGCTTTTCCAATCTCCTACAACTTCAGCTTAGAAAGCTGGGCAGAAAACTACAACAGCTGTTTCAAGAGAAAGCAGGAATGCAAGTAGGTTTTGAATCAAAGGTCATTAAAAACCATTCAGTTTGACTTCAGTACTTTTTTTTATCTTTGAGCTATGAAACACATCTGTTTACTATTCTTTAATAGCTTCATCTGCTTGAGAACAACCTCACAACTGGGAGACAAAATTGTGGTAAGAACTGCAGATGTAATTTTTGCCCAGTGACTTTGGCAGCAGCAGCAGGATCAGGCACATTCATTCAATGTCATTTATCAGTGACATGTAGCACAGGAAAGAAGTCCTCTCCAACTTTGCTCCTATCCATTTTTGTTTTAGACAGTCTGTTAGGAGAGCCCAGACTGCTGCTACAATAGCAGCTCCATCTCTACAGGCAGGGATGAAACTCCAGTCCCATCCTCCCACTGAAGACAGAGGCAGGCTTATGATGTGAGGTGGCCTGGTTTTCCTCTCCCTGAGAGCTCACACATCCTCTTAACATCAGTATCAAGATGATAAAGTGCTGCCTAAACAGACTCTGTTTCACTATGAGAATTTTGCTGCTTCAGAAGTTTCTCACACCCCTCCAAAAGTTTGAGACTTGCACACTACTTCAGGCACACACATACTGATGGCAGTTTGTGCAGGAAAATGCTTTGAAGCGGAAAGGAGGAAGTGAGGCTGAGTCAGAGGACTTGGGGGGACACATGGACTCTATTGCTGCATCTCCAACTGACTTGACCTGACAAGGTCACTTGGATGTGGATCCATTTCCAGTCTCAGTGCATCTGTTTCCCGTCACTCCTTCCACTGCCACGGCAGGTCAGCACATAAAGTAGCCAGGAAATGGGCTGTCTCACCACAGAGAATGGAACAACCAGTATTGTGAAGCTCTCATCTTCTCAAGAACTGACCCTCCACTAATCTCTCTCAAAAACAACAAACAAGCTGTCTGAATAGTTGAGGCAAAGCTGGCAGGCAACCTGCACCCTCAGTCCCAATCAAAGTCTCATGAAAGATTTAGTAAATCAAATCAGGTTCTGCACAGCGCTGGCCAAAGGAAGGGGTGCTCATGGAGTGGATGTTTAGCTGACACATGTACGGATCCAGGTGCAGACACTTCCAGCTCTTACCTGTGACACCTTCCTTCTTGCCAAGGAGCCAGAACTCGTCCACCACGGCCAACACTTCGATGACATCTCCCACGAAGAGGGGCAGCTCTTCAGAGACACTGGGACAGAAATCAAAGACTGCCCGTACCACGGAGCCAGCCTCCATTGCGCAGGGTATGAAGGCGGATCAGTGCCTAAGGCTGAGACAGTGAGAAGTTTTTTAGCAGCCAGAAACACCTGAAATTATCACATATATGCTCAGAAAGTAAAACCCTTCCTGAGCACAAGACGCACGGGAATAGTGTGGGGGGGTCCTGTCCTGAGGTCCCCGACACCCTTCGCCATATGCTGCAGGATCCAAGGGTCTCCAGCAATGCAGCCCCTGTGGTCTAAGCTGCCTTGCCTGGCCCCTTTGGCTGTCTCTGTGGGGCCACGTATTTGTGCTGCAAGGGGGGGAGAAGCAGCAAGAAATTTGGAAGTGAATTCCCGTCAGGAAGGAAGCAAGAGGAGGGGAGGAAGCTCAGCATTTCCCTGACATACAGCACAGGGCTCTGAGCCCGCCAGGGCCGGGTGGGCAGACAGCACCACCCACTTGCATGTCCCACCACACATGCTCTGGCAGGATGGGCACAGGAATCCCCCTCCCCATGCCATCAGTCAGGGCCACAGGAACTGCATGCTGAGGCATTGTCACACTTCTGGCCCAGTAAGAGAAGAGGCACAAAGTCCACTGAGGCCACTCATGCCACTATCCTCTTCCCCACTGGTGAATCTTCCTGGGCTGACCCAGCCTGAGCATCCTCAGACCTGACTGGAAATATCCCTTCTGCCTTCTAGGTACCAGGCTCAGTCATCCCCTGGGAGGCATCACCACGGTTCTTGGCAGAAGCCAAGCTGAGATGAGGGTACAGACCCTGTCCAAGGCTCTGGAAGCCAAGGCTGAAACTCCCTTGGCAGGAGACCTGAGGGCAGGCAAAGACCTCCTCATCAAGGGCTCTGTCCTGAATTCCCCCTTCCTCCAGAAGTGGCTGCTGAACCAGGACACTTTCCTGTATAATTTCTGATTTTCAGCCTCACTATCAAGGCAATACATTGCATCAGGGCAGCAGCAGTCCTGCAGCTTAAGCTGCTTGTTCACCTCCTCCCAGATTCCTTGGAATAGGAACTGAAAAATTCATTCATCCAAAGCAACCAGGAACTTTAAGATTATTCCTCAACATCAACACGTCAGGCTACTGAGTGTTTGCCTTCACTTCCTGTCCCACTGCAATTACAGGCACAGGATGGCGCCTAGAACGCCTCTCCGAGGTGCTTCCAGAGCCCTGCCCTCTGTGACGCTGGGATGTCAGCGTCTTCCCCATCAGTCCCCTTGGCTGCTTTCCTCCCGTATCACAAGCAGAGTCCCTGCTCTGTCCATTTGGACCCAAATTCCCTACAATGAGACCCAATGTCTTCCCTTCTCAAAGAGCCTCTAAGTGCACAGCAAGCGATCACACTCCAAGCACTGCCCAGCCGGTGATACCCGTCCCTTGGGCAGCACGGCTTATCAAATCACCCTGCCCACCTAACAGCACAAAGAGCACAGTGACAACACAACAAAACACACAGGGTCCCCAGGGACCCCATTTCTCCATAGAGCCACACACAGCCCACCTGAGCCCTGGAGAGTCAGGAAGAGGGGAAGCTAACACAGAGAAGAGAAAACATCCCTGCTGATGAGGTGCAGCCAACTTCCAGTGAGTGTGCCAGTGGGGGATCCAGCCAGGGAAAGGCTTTCTGCTGACGGGACCACTCTGTTTATCCAGTCCGACTCACCTCCTGGGAACAAAGCGGGTTTGTACTCAGCAGGAACAGCTTCCTCAGCATGTCTCTCCCCACCCCCATGCCATGCCCCTGCTGCAGCCAGCATGCTGTGCCCTGGCCCCTGGCCAACCCTCACCTCTGCCGTCCCATCCGTTGCTCCTATTACTCTCCACTGCCTTCCCCATAGCACGTGGGCTCCTTGGGACACAGGCTGTCCCTTTGTCACCAGCTTTGTGCTGGCTGTACAAACAAAGAGCCCAATATCCAGCAGCCGACAGCACTCTGCCACCAAAAAGAGATGAATGGACTGGAGTGAATCAGGAGCACAAAGAGCTGCAGTTCAGGATAGCAGAAACCTACTGAGCCGGAAGGAGTAACAGTATTAAAAACATGACCATGTGGAGCAGGGAAAAAGATGGAAGAGCCATCAATTAGCTTGGAAATACTAAAGACAAGTACAGATCCTTGGGCTGTTTGAGGTGGGGTGGCTGGGACATGCTGCTGCATGCTGGGAACAGGAGAGCAGCAGCAACAGGCACAGCAGTAGCAGGCCCTTGCAGGTGCCTGAGGCTGCTCTCCACCTCCCAGACAGGCTGTCGACTGAGCTCAGGGTCCTAGGAATCCTTGCCATACTCTGAATATTCAAACTTCACAGCAGCACTGGACAAAGAGGGGAAAAGGCACTACAGGCATAATTGCTGCCTCGGGGTAGTTTCTCCAGGAGCACATGATGGTACAGTGAGATTTCTTGCATTTCTTCTGTCAAAGGTGTAATGCAAGAATGGGCTGAGGCATGCAAGGATTACAGCATGTGTGCTGCAGACCCAAACCCTGGCTTTGCTGCAGCCACTGCGGCTGAGGATATGGCCCTCCCACTGATCCTGCCCATGAGAACAGGAGTGTCACTTCCTTAACACACCTGCAGCTCTGGGGACTCATCATTAAAATGTGCAAGATTTTCCAATGAGACAGAAGATTGAGAGTGACAGGCAGGACTGCAATTGCTCCACCATGTATATATTAATTACGGTTATAATAAAACACTAACATATTCATGTCAAAAGCATTCCCTGAGAGGCAGCTTGTAAGAAAGTGTGAAGTAACTTCTAAAACTGCCAAAAAAGAATCCCACCAGGCTCATGTTCCCTCAGCAGTACCAAGAAGAGCAGGATCACTCCCGGACTCCATCCAAGTCTAGACAGTATGCCCCTGTATTCACAAGCAGTGAATCAGTCTTGTGGGGTTTGCTTGCTCCATGACAAGAATTGAACACAAAATATTATGTTTTCCGGGACCTTGGCCTTGTCTTACTCCATGCAGTGCTGTCTGCCAAATTTTCTACAAACCCCCACCTAGAGAAGGAAGCCTCCCAACATATTCCAGACTGGAAACTTACTGAGTCCAACTCTTCACGCTTAATAGCAGGCCCGAGCTTCTCCCAGATCCACCCTAGATGTGGTAAAAACAAACATTCAGCAATAGCTCTAGAAGAGGTTCCAGAAGGAGGAGCAGATGGCAGGGAGAGCAGGGCTCCGTCTGTGATCCCCAGTGAGTCACGGCTCCTGACAGCTGGCCAAGCACCATCCCCTCTCACCTTAAGGATGGGTGATCCCTGCCTGCCAGAGGGAAGGAGGGAGGGCTCCGCCACAACTGAGCAAGCTCAGGGATTTCACGCTGGAGGAGGTCAGGACTGCGAGTCGCAGGACTCCTGCCCCCACCCAGCAGCAGACCCGTATCCAAAGAGAGCCTCACTGTGAAAGTACGAAGTTGTGGCACAGCAGCAAACTCACCCCGCTGAGAACACACGGGCTCTGTCTCGCTGCCTGATCCTGCACAAACCAGGTAACGTGTTCCTGGCACCCGACTGCAGCCTGCCTGGTGCTAAGCTCTGGGCCTGACACAAAAGCATTGTGCAGCAAGGCAGAGAGTAGATTCCCAGAGCATTAATCACCCCCACCAGCCTGCCTGCCTGCATGCTCAGCTCACAGTAACATTACCTCCATGGAAGACTGCCTATCCCATTTTGCCATTATCTCTGGAGCGTGTCTGGTCCGGCATGGGCTGATGAAAGGAGGGGCCAGAACGAAATGATGGCTATTAACTCTGTTACAATACTGTTTTTGAGACCTTAGGCACAGAATGGATCAAGTCACCACAGCCAAGAAAAGGCATTTGCACAGAGACCGACAGCTTCTTGTATCCCTCCTCTCTTTTTGCAGCTGAGATTGTGCAGGGTAAGAAATCCCAAATAACAGACTCACCAGCATCACAAATAATGGTCAGGCACTTGTCAAAGTACCATCACTTAGATGGAAGCAGGCCTACTAAAGATGCTGAAGCAAGGATTTCAACCACTTAAGACGTAAGGCAGCAATGTGAAGAGATCATTTTAGGCTGATTACAAAAAGTATTAACAGCCCCAGAAAAAGGAGAGACCCAAAGGGCTTGAAGACAGCTAATCCAGTGGTATTCCCAAAGGGCTGCTCAGATCATGAGATAAAAAACAGTAACGGATGGATGCCCCAAATTAGAAGCAAGGCAACCAAACTTAGCAGGTGCTATCACCACTTGTTTCCCCTCTCAATAATACATTTCAGTTTCTCACTGAAGAAGCAGCACTGACTATGGTCAGTATGACAGCACCATAACTGAAAAACTAACGTTTCACCAACAGACCAAAACGTGCCATGTGGGCTTCCACAGACACACTGGATTTGCACAAGAGGGACAAGTAGATTCTTGTGCAGCAGATGTCTCAATCTCTTTAAAAACCTTACAGTCTGCATGAGCAGTACACCAGGAATGGGTCAGACTCACAGAAATGTACAAAAAACAAGCTTGTCACAGAATTATTAGAGAAATTAATATTAAAAATATTAAACAAATACTGCCAGTGATATTTTTTAAAAATGAAAAACCCTTTGCATTTTACCTACATTTTTTCATGCCTCTTTCCACTCATTATAGCTTAATGTCTGTTCACTAGAAACACAATCCACTCTCAGAGACAGAGACGCCCCTGAGCCCTGTTCAGTGCACCCTTAGGCTGCTGGATCTGGCTTTGACAAGAGATTTGCTGCAGCTCTCACTGCACTCTTCAGGATCAATACACAGCACACAGTGGGAGGGAAACAGGAGTTATACTTGGCTTCACACACCATTGTGTCAAGGACAGAAGCTTACTAACTACATGCTGAGGCATTTCTACCTTTTTCCTCTGTTCCTCCTCATGTTCTCCAAATCTGGACAGCCCTCCTTCCCTTCTCCATACCCCACTGCATCTGCACAGCCTGCACAGTCCTCATCCACACTTCTAGGGTAGGACATTACCTGCACACCAGCATGCCCTGACTGCTCTTGCCAGCCTTCAGAGCTGTTGCCACATACAGTGACTCTCCTGCTCAGAGCAGAACATGTTGCTCTGTAAAGCTCCCCGAGGTCCCTGCATACTCCTGGGTGGAATAAACAATACCCCGTAGAGCCAAGCTGCCTGGGCCCCAGCTGGAGATGTTGCCAATGCAGGGACTGCAGCTCTGGCAAACTGCAGAGCTGACCCTATGAATCCCAACAACAGAAAACGCGACAAGCAGGACAAAAACCGAACTAATGGTGTTGGGGAGAGGAGCCTTCTCCCACCAGGAAATGCTGATTGCTGCAGCTTCTTGTTAGGACATGCTGCTTGTCTCAGCAGATCCCAAAGAGTCCTCCTGCTGAGCTTCACACAGGGAAACAAGAGATCTCTTCTGCACTCCACCTCCTAACCCCATACGGCTCCCTGGAGGAAGAAGAATCTCCTCACTTCAAAAACAAATAGCCTCTTTTGCTTTGTCTGTTACTTGATATACAAAAATCATTGAAATGAATTCATTTGGGATCACCAAACATTACAGAACCAGGACTACCAAGGGCAAGGGCTGCTTAAGCAAGCTCTGGCCTCCCACCACACATGTGGTGGTTTGGGGTATTTGCCATAGGAGCTCTGCCATGTACCACACAAGTCACTGAAACCACTGCTTCTCTCCAGCTGGGCTCTGGCTGTCAGTGTTCTCACTGGCTCCATTTCAGGACGTGGCTGAAGGCAGACTGGTGGTGTTTGTGGGGGGTAAGTGTGGTGTGGGGAGGAAGAAAGAGGGGCTTGTGCTGGACCAGAAGGCAAGCAAATGAAAGTAATCTGGAAACTAGAACACAGCATCAATTTTTAATGCAAAGCAGAGCACCTTGCCACAACATGTGAGCAAGACGACTATGATGGATATTTAATCTCTGGCACTGGGGACCTAAGCATGCAAAGACCAGAACACCAGCTTAGGTGACAAGGGTTTCCCCAAATTCTGTACGGAGTGGCTGCACACACCTTACAGACCCTGTTACCGAGTCCTGCCTTCTCTCACCCCAAGGTGCACGGTTGTCTCTCTTGCCATTTTTTGTAGACAGACTAAAAGAATACAACTTAGAAAAAGGAACAGAAAAAACCTCAAGAGCAGCACCACTTCTGCTGTGCAGTACCCATGGCTGGGCTCCTGGGGGTAAGTAGTATACAATTGCAAAATTAGTCATTACACTTTGAGCACATATCCAAAACAAGTTGAACTGGGGTACAAGGACATTCCTTAACAATGCAGCACTTGACTTTGCACCCTGAACAATATTCTTCAAGATAACTTTTGGACAGAAGCCCATTATGATGCATTGATTGCTGGGCAGGGAGTCCAGAAATCTGGAAATTATTTGAGTTTAACTTGGAAGCTGTGCTCTTAACCCACCATCACTCCTGTTCTGCCCTGCCTGTTATCTCCAAAGAACGTAAAGCCCCAGCAGGGACTCTGCTGATACCTGGACCTCTTCCTTTCAGAATCCCTAGGTGCTCCTGCAAAGGAAGCAATGAATTTTATTTCCTAACAGAAAGGTTCTAAAAATAAGACAAAGTAAAAGCTGTGTCACTCAGGAGTGGGGTTGAGCAACCCTTAGAATGTGATTAGAAATATACTTTTGCTGGAGAATGAAGGGAAATTACCAGTTAAGGTAGCGAAGTGCTAAGGTAAGCACAACTCAGGCTGTCCCATCCGAGCTCATATCACCACTGTCACAAAGTCTGCCTGAACAGTCACCCACTGCAGGGACACCTCACCTGCACTCCGAACCCTGAGATGTCACACAGCCACACCTCCCATGACAGCTAGCAGAGGTGGTGCCCTGCAAAGCTTTGAGAGTCACTCTTTGCCCTACTGCTCAGTTCCTCCCATCCTATTGCCATTCTAACAGTTCTTAAAAACTGTTGTACGTTTGTACTAGTTTTTAATGTCACTGCTAATTCTAAGCGGAGCAGCTGGAGAGAGAACCGAAACCTTTGGCCTTGGCAGAGCAGAGGATTTCACGAACAGAACAGCAGCGGCCAGCTCAGAGACGTGGGCATTACTGGCGCTACGGAGGGCCTCTCACACAAGCAGGACGCATTTAGACACTGCCCAGCACGACTCACAGCCAGAGTGAGTCAAGATGAGGGGGCTGATGGTGACGTCTTGCAGCACGGCACAGAGGCTGTATTTGGCAAAGCATCTGCAAAACTGCAAATTCTGTATCTATGAACTCTTTCAAACAGAGGACGATAGAATCGCAATGGAAGCAAAGGAAAGGATGGCAGAGGCAATGGGAAAGAGAGCCTTTTCAGAAGAAACTGAAGGTTATGGAATCATGACAAACCTCAAAACAGATGTTAATGCTTATGACACAACTAAAGGCTTCCTAGGTAGTACGGCAAGGAGAACGAAACGAGAAAGGACAGAGGTGGGAGGAGTACTTCAAACACCAGAAACAGCAGCAGAGGTGTTTGAACCCAGAGGCCAAACTGCATCAAGGACAAGATCAGCTGAGGCACCAGTTAGGGTCAGCAAAAGGTACAGCAAAGCAGCAGCAGCTGCCTCTCAGACTGTGCTGAGGGTGACTCAAGCCTCCATCCCCTTGCAAGGCCACTGGAGGAGGCACCTCCAGTTCAACTGTTAAAGTACAAGGCAACTGTGTCAGGCTGAGAGCTATCCAAGAGGGATTTGCATTTGCTGGAATGAAAACAAACAGGGAACTCTCTTAAGTTTCTCTTCTCAGGCTGGCTCAAACAGAGTGGATGTGGGAAAGGCACAGGCTGCAGTCTGGAGTTTCTGCTATCTATGTACCACCTGTACCACCCTTCACCAGTGCTACCACTCCAGGCTCCCTGCACTAGACCACTCTGGGACACCCACATTGTTTCTAAAGGGCCAACTGCTCCCCTACAACCAGCTACCTGCCTGGGGGGTGGCCACCCAGGTTACCACTGCCTGCACAGACACGGCTTAAGAGACCACAATCCCAAGGGATGCAATATGCGGGGCAGAAGGGCGGTTCCCGCTGTGCCGCACAGCTGCTCCGTGCTGCCGAGGTGCCCAAAGTGCTCCCAGGGCAGCATCGGCGCTGCGGGATGGAGCCGGCGGGGCACGGCGAGCACACAGCTGGGCACCCAGGGCTGGAGAGCCACACGGTGCCCAGCCCAGCTGCCGGGCGAGGAGAGCGCACCCACCCGAGCTTGCAGCACCCCCCGAACCAGCGGCACCTCAGCCAGCACCGCCCCCCGGCCGGCCAGCGCGGCCCGGGGCAGCCCCGCACACAGCAGCCCCCCGGGGCGGGCAGGGCCGCGGGCTCGGGCGGCCGAGCGGGTGCCGGTGCGGTGGGGGGGG